CGATGGACTAGAACCGTTTCAACAGCAGGCCATAATCCACACATTGATATATGTGTAAAACTTGGGCACTGTGGAAGTAAGTTATTCCATATTAGTTTGTTTATTAGCATTTTCTAGAAAATTCTACTACCCCTACAACAAATAGGAGATGACAACGAAAACTATAAAACTCAAGTTTCAAAGTCGTGTGATTACAATTGGTATGATTGTGAACAATAAATTTTTTTCGAAACGTCATCCAGTAAATAATACTGTTTCACTGTGTGATACATCTAATAAACAAACTAACATGGTCCACACAAGCTCTGGAGATACAACATCTGACACTCCAGATGGAGTGTCCAGATAAGGTAAGTTAGCCATTTTAATACGATCATAACTATATGCTTCTCTGATTTCAGGCCAACCACATGGTGAACATGGTTTTGGTGTTCTGAAATGAGATGAAGGACAACCATTTGGGAGAATCCCCTATCTAACTCTCCTGTAATAGGGATGATTATGTATAAACATATTTATACATATTCTTTGAACTTGAGCACTTGTATTTACAAGCTTCTCTGTGATCAGGCAGCTCCTCTCAGTTTCAGATCAGTAGTTGATGATCAGCATTACATTTAAAATATTGCTAGGTATTTCTAGCCGAAGTAAGAAAAAACACGAGGTTTATTTCATTCTCTCGATAGAAAAACACTGCGTCACCTAATGCACTTAAGATAACTACCAGATTTGAAGATTCTGGATGAACAGGAAATACAGTGCAAGCTGAAAATTGTGTGAACATTTTGTGCAGAATAAGGCCGCTATTATGTTAGTGGTTAGCATCGACTTGTGTGCCACTAGTGCAGGAGGTGAGGAAATTTAAATTGCTTTATCAAACTGCAGGACAGAAGTGATTTAAGACTAAAAATAAATCGAAAGAAGTGACAGTCAACTGCTTCATGACTTCCAAGCCTACTTTTTACTTTTCATCTAAAAGGAAGGTTGTCATAGCTTCTTGAAAGGCTGTTCAGAGGCTTCATTGCCAATTCTAAAACGTATTCGAGCTATAGCATTATGCTAAGTGATCCCTTCCTGAGAGAAAAAGTATCCTAAATAAAGCAATTTACACCTGCATCCAGTTTGTTTATTAGACTCATGTTATACCACTTTTGGCACGAGTTGATTCGTGGAATAATATCACCAGTTTTTTGTTGGAAAATTCTACACGCGGTAGTATTATTTTGAGTGAGAATCTAGCCAGAACCACTTCCATTATGACCATCAGGTACTTAGTTGTTTGAGATGTTCCCCTTCTAATAATAATAATAATAGGCTTGAGCAAAAGAGATTCAGAGTATATGACTAACACCTTGCTGTTTTTGAAGAAAGAAAAGACCTCACTAAAACGGAATTGAAAGCATCCACCTTTGTTACTATTATACACGGAGAGTACCCATCTTATTGCTAGAATATGCTGTGACTTTGTGTCACTGATTCGATCTATAACTTGGCTAAAATACGCCTCTAAACACGACAGTATAACCAATTGATCACCAGAAAATACCTCTCACGATGAAACAGGCATAATAGTCAGACTCAAATACGACAATGCTTTATTGTTCGAAATACAGGAATTCAAGTCGAAAGCTAATTAACAAATCTGATTTGTTGTATGACGTGGCAAATCCTCAGAAATCTAAGCCAAAATTACACTCGCTGAAAACTGTCCAGTCAGGTTTTAGAGGCTTGGGCTGACGACGTTAATGGATAGTACGAAGTATATCCACAAATACTATACCATTTATACAACGTAGACCAAAGACAAATCAAAACATCATATTGATCGTCCAAAATACGAAGTAAATTTTGGGGCCAAAATCGTAGTACAAGGAGAATCGCTTAATCAGCTAAGGATCGTGCACGAACAACCGAAAGTAACACGACAGCCTATCAAAAGCCTGGATGCTTGACCGCAAGCCTTCAGCTTAACAAGTCAGATAAACAGTCAAGGTAAACATCCAACGTTGTAGCTGATAATTTTGAGGAATTATCTACCGCTACAAGTTTATCATATCGGTGCATGTATAAGTCATCACTTCACGGCTGACAAAGTGATATGGTGATGGATATCCAGTCTGAAAATAAACCAATCAGAGTTGGCCTATGTAAAATAATGCTTACTTTTTATTGATCATGACTTGGTAGATTTTTTGAATCATACCTTATTGTGGAAATATATATACCTACTGTCAGGTCTTTGGTGTGCTCTCGCTTAAGCTAATAGATCGGTTGATCGCTGTACACGTTAGCGTAGGAAAGTGGTACTCGTGATAACCACGTGTCACCAGCTCGGCATCTCTACTGCAACTTGACGTTTTGCAAAATATACTACAAAAATAGCTTGTCCGTCTCAACAGTAATATGTGCTATTCATAGCATTTTTCTGTGACGATTTCATATCACTCCTGTGGCATCATTCAGACACTTTGTAATTACGATATACTATTCATTAATTTTCCTACTATACCTAGACTGTGGTAATTTATATTGTGTCCCCATGGCTAAGTTTTAGAGGCAATACGCTTTTGTACATAAAATTTCAATCTACTTATCGATTCATAGTTTTCAGTCAAAGAATTTCAAACAGAACTTCAGAAGGAAAACATTATTACTTTGCACGCAACTAAATATTTCTTCTAGGCGCTTCAGCATGAGGGCCAGAATCAGACAAGTCATCTGCTGTGTTAACTCTAACAATCAATGTATGTGCACAGGAAGTGTAGACAGGATTTTCCTGAACACGTTGTGGGCGGTACTCCATCTTTATAAACAGTGGTCTTCTAGACAGTTTGATTTTATTTCGTTTCAAAGAAATTAAAATTTCGAAACTAAGTAACGTGGTAACTAGGGATTTTCAGACACACTATTATTAGATATAATACAGGAGGCCAAACAGTAAACACACTGTAACACTGCAGCCACCTCTCTTCATATGATATACTTAGTTCCTACAGAAAGATTATACTTATAAGTTGTGATTGAGCATGAAAACATACAAGGTATGCTGTCGCCATTGACTACAGCGGCTGTTTTCAGAAATCTTATTAACTTAAAAATGCCAGTCGAATGATTACAGAAAAACAGCGGCTATCACAATGTTATTTACCCATAGCGAGGTTTCAGAACCAATAGCAACACCAATTCTAATATATCCAAACAGATCACATGTAGTCAGCCTCAAACAAATATTATCTGAACTGTGCGGTCACGTTAATTGACTGAAAGATAGCGTGAAACTTTGGAAAGAAGATCATTAATTGTCCTATTTCACTAGAGCATACATAAACGTAGCTAAATTTAGTGGAACTACAGTGAAAAAAGATGTACGGGAGTGGAAATGGTTAAACAAGTACTAGTGAAGTTCTGAGCCTGCAAGATAACAAAGAGTTGTAACAACAGAAGACAAGGGCCAGACAACAGATGGTTTATTAAGGAAATCAACACGTATTTATATATTTTCACGTACATTTTTATAGCCTATTCAAGCAAACAAACACACTCTTCTGATTGGCTGTTTCTCACAGAAAGTTGACCTTGCATCTCTTTGTGACTGTTTCTTAAATGTCAGATCATCTATGTGCTAACTGTATCCGCCTACACAAAGTATGGTGTGACTGGTTGTTGAATCAGTCTTTGTTCATATTTTCTCACGATCAATATTTGGGTCATACACATTGACGTAAATAATTGTCTACCGATTGGCTAGCAGCCTGCTCTCACCACAGAGTGAATACATCTGCGTCGCTATGGACAATCGTGTACCATTATACCGTGAATTTCAGACCATTGATGTTTAGCATCCCATGGACACCAACCAGACAGTCTAAATCTGAATTGATGCTACCCACTTTACCTATGTTCATAAGAAATTCTCCGACTGGGGCAACTTACTGGTTTAAGCACTTAGCTTCCAATCAATGGGTCAAAAGTCCAAACCTACAGCAACCATCAATTATGTGCACAGACTTTCTTGGTGTCGTTAATTTCCATTAACTGAAGAAATAATAATTTTTCTCCATTCGCGTTAACAACGACTTTTTCCATAAAAACTATCCTAGGGTCAAAAATTTCATTAGCATTAGCAGCCTTAAATTTCATAGTGAGGATAATATTTAAAACTGCATAATCGTTGTTAGATACACAGAGCACCAACACTCTCAGTCATAAAATGAAGACTTATACATACAAAACCGAATATTTCTTAGAGCTATTCACTAAGACTGAAAGGACTAGAATTTAAGTCATAGTCAGGAAACTCAACAGAACGGTTTTCCGCAGAGCTTCAAAAAATACACACAACTATTAACTGGACTGACATAATGCATTTGTTTTTCTGCATATACAAGATATGTGTGTAGGAAAAACCCATTGTTATTTGACTTTCAAAGTGTAGGAATCTAATTCATAAGAAATATCTTCAAATATTTGCATACCTTTGATTTTAACTTCCCAGATATACAGATCCCAATTTATATGGTATTACAGTTATTCCACACAAGGATTGGTGCAGGCGAACCAGTGTGTGGAGTCAATTCACACAGATCAATAACATGAACAATTATCAACTTTCTCTAGCTACTCAGGTGTTACCTTGACAAAAGTATTTAGCATGTAATTTATTGAATTAATTTTAATTATTATTGGAGTAATAAATGTGGTGCGAGAGATGGCAAGCTATAAATCTGTTAGGTTAAATAGTGGATCCATTCAGTGGCTAGAATGGAACTCAATGGAAAGATCAAAATTATGAGAAATACGTTATCAACATTTTGGTCGGGTGATAAACAAGGATGAATTATTCTCTAATTCCTACACCCCACCATGAAAGTCTACAACGCATTTTCGTAGAAAAATTTATATACCTGAGAATTTATCAAATACAGATCGGGAATGCCTGATAAATATCATATAATACAGAAACAATTCAGTCACATTAAATATAGGCGATTGCTTCGGCACTACGAATGCATGTTATATACCTATTTAGAAAAAAAAGAGAGAAGAGTAGTTAATAAGGCGTAAAATAAACTTTGGTGAATTTTGAAATACAAATAATGAAACAAGATTCAATGATTCATAAACAGATGTAATCCGGGCGTTAAAGACAGTAGCTTCCGAGTCTATTACACAGAATATTGGTTTCCAGTCACTCAGATCAGAGAAATGTAAAACCTAAAAAATCAAAACAAGTGATTCAGCGAAGAGACTCTTTTCAACGAATTTATCATCAAGCTGTACAGTCGTATATATATGGTTTTTCAGAAGTTATATCCGGTGAGGGAATTGAATCTTAGGTGTGAATGCATAAAATAATAATAATCATACGAAGTTCAATTAAAACTAAAATGTTTGTGATTATAATCGTAGTTAAATGTCAAGTGGCAAAGCAGATTAATGTCATATGTAGAATAATTCATAGGAGGGATAGAACTTGAAAAAGGATATGCAATTATAGGATTAGTAGACCAATCGAATAAAACAAAAACGTTACGTAATATTGTGTGAAATTTAATAGCATTGAATTTATCGTTGTAAAAAACAATTGATTTAGAATGACAAGTGGAACAAGTGAAATAATACCGGGGACAGTTCAAAGTGAGAATAGTAATAATAACAATTGACTTAATAAGAAGAGTATACAAATTGAATACAAAATGAAAAATTGGTACAGCTAAAATATGATTGGGGATTATCATATTTTAGCATAGAGGGATTAAGACCATGAAAGCTGGAGGGGTTGAACGAATGTAAAATCGTCTTGCTACAAATTCATATGACAATCTAGTTTTCTGTTTTCAGTTTAATAAATTCTGTCTGTCTGAATTCCACATAGAACTTGGCACCAAAGTGCGGCAGCTCGAGTTGCCACGTTTCAAATAGCACACAGAGGTACACAAGAAGATGAGTAAAGAGAATCAATAGAGTTTGACAGGTATAAGAGCGAAACAGAATGGGTAATGGTAGAAAGAAATGTGAAAGATTACAGAAACTGAATACATCTGCGCTGGCCATTGACAACGATTTTGAGCCATGTCACCTATTGTCTCCAGCCATTGATTCCTAGAGTCAGTCCCGAGGGCTCCAACCCGGAAGTCTGCATCTCCCTACCTGACTCAGTTTAACTGTCAAGGCTTTCATGGATTGATTCCATGTTTTTGTTTGGCCACCACTTATTCTTTTCCAACCTGCACCTATATCAGCTAGTAATACCCGTCGGGGGAGGCGATGGCTAGACATGCGCAGCACGTGACCTAGCCATCTCAATCTGTGTAACTTTATAGCCTCGTCGATTGATTTTCCCTGTTTGCCTGCCCAACACTCTACGCCTAACTTCAACTTTACTTACACCTTATTATACCACCTAACGTGAGAAAGAGATCTCAGACATCTATGATCGAAAGCAGTCAACCTTTTCATGTCATCAACTCGTATTGGCCATGTTTCAGAGCCATAGAGAAGGACGGAGCGAACTGCTGAGCAGTACACACGTCCCTTAGTTTAATAAATCAGTGCTTTCCAATATGATTTAGCATGATCACTGACTAAGTGTCGAATGAAAAATGATAAACGGAGGATAATAGTAAAATAATACTCTTTGTTTTGCGTATATTCCAGTTTCTTTGTTAGCAAGTCATCCGAATACATCCTCCATCAGCTTATCAGGCATTCAGACGCTTATTTTAGCCTGAAAGTAAAACTGCATGTGCTATTTTACTGATGTGACAGAAACAATAGTAAAGACGTTTGTTGAATGAACTGTCTGTTCTTCTAGTCGGTAAAATGCCTTGAGAAGTATAGTTTATTTTAATACTATCATCATAATTAGCAGATAGTGATAATGTAACTGATAAAATTTGCTTGACAGTTCGTCACAGTTGACAGTCCTGATAAGAAAACACAATGAAAACATAGTCAATGTAATTAGATTAGTGATTAATGACATTTTTTGATGTAGTATCTTACTGAATTCGCAATGAAGTTTGTAGAATTTGACTCTAATGGTGAATCTATCGTTATTTATACAATAAATCTCCCTGGACATTTTGAAAGTGGTACGCATAGATGCAGCTAGGAGAATTCGAAAAATTAACTTCAGCTAGACTCATTCCATTTTACAAAACAGTATGCTTGTTACCACAATTAACAGTAGATAAGTATCCTGCTCATCACTTCAACTGCGTTTACCAATACATAAGCACTTGCAGAAGCAAGTACATAGGAAGGACTGAGAGGAGAACGTCTACTAGATTCTCCATGTATATCCCTAAAAGTCTCTGTTTTCAAGAAAGCAAAGTATTCTCAAGTTCAATCGCCAGACACCTCAATGACACGGGACATACAGTTGAAATTAGTTAAGCTTTCAAAATAATCAATACACAAAGAAAAGCATTTTTACTTCGGTTGGTAGAAGCCATAGGTCATCAAAAGACTTCGACCCAACCTATGCATACAGAAAGACAGTGTGACTAATCTCTCATTACCCTGGTAACCGTAATTGTTTTGTCTGTGTGCTTTTTTGTTCTGCTACGTTGGGTAACATTCCACTCAATCTTGATTTTCGCTTACTGAGTTGAACTCACTATTAAGGTTTCAAATCTAGTAAATTAATTTATCTTATCTATTTTATAATTTTACTTCACTATTCACCCCTACCCTCTTAACTCTCCACCATAATATGTATAAATTAACCCTGTTGTTGTATCTTGTATTTTGTCTCTAGTCCATTCTTGTTTCAAAGCGAAGTCTGACCTCTACTCCCCTGTTTGATTACTATATAAATAGTTACTCTCTTAACACTAAATAATTGTCTACTTGCATCATCTTTGAAATTATGTTGCTTATACTTTCTATCTTTAACTTGAAATCATTGTAAAAAGTATTTTCAGAAGCTTTGTAACATTATTTATTTATTTAGGATGTGTGCTGTTGAAGAGAATCCACGAAATTAGGCGAGCTCGTATTATCCTGTAAATATGTTCTTTCTTTCTTTATTCATACTAATAAATTATTAACTAAGCGAACCCGGTTGGTTATCTGATACTCATTTAGTAAGAGTATGAAATAAAAATCATTTGTAACATGAATATACCCCCAGTATTTATTCAGAACAAAAATAATCAGAGCGAAAAATTGTTTCCAATAAATTCTTCAGGCTTTACAATTATAAATCCACTAATTTGAGCATACATCACCCAGCAAAGGTAAATTAGACTTAGATCGGATGTATTGTGGAACAAGTATAAGATGTACAATACAAATATTTGATAATCACCAGGTTCATTTATGCATTTAAACAAGTTATTCTAGCTATATTGTCTTCCTCTCTAAAACTTACATTGAATGACATTTTGAAACTAGTTGTCTATTGCATTTCGCATTTCAAATAAATGTATTATCTCCTAGGCTACGTAGAGTAAGGGATTTCATATATGCTGAGTGGCTTTCCTCAACTTAGTTAGGACTAAGGTTTCAGCAGTTTATTATAAAATCCAACTCCGAAAGAAGAGGACCATTGGATGTTAACTACATCCTATGTTATAAGTTTTCAGACCGTAGATGTTACAAATTTCCTGGAATAATTTGACCGCCAAGTCAGATTGAATCATTGTAAATTATTTAAAATAATCCCAGCGTCCTCAAGAAGAAAATCAAAACAAGATTTTACTACATATTTTGAAGATTAATAAAATCCGAATAATTCTGATGAAGAAGCTGTGGCTTACACAGCGAAACGTTCAGAAAATCTTGTTTAGATTTTCTCTTAAACACGCTGGGATTATTTTAAATAATTTATAATGACACATTCTGTGTTATTTATACTTGGTTAATGAATTTTAACTGTTACGTTAACTGAAAAGTACGTCAACAACTACACCGACTCCTAGATTAGAAATAGGAAGTGAAGTGGTAGAGCACGTTGACCGCTTCCCTTATTTGGAAAGTACCACCAACCCCGACGGGGTGATCTCTGACGAAATTTCAGCACGGATACATAGGGGTAGTTTCGCATATGCCAGTTTACGCCGTCTCTGGCGTAGACGTGATATCCGACTGGCTGTCGACCAAAGGACGTGTGTACTGCTCACCAGTCCGCTCCGTCCTCCTTCATGGCCAGCTGTGAGACCTGGCCACTGAGAGTGGAAGACATGAAAAGATTAGCTGTCTTTAATCATAGGTGCCTGCGTTATATCTCCCGTGTGAAGTGGTATAATAAGGTGAGCAATAATGAGGTTAGGCTTCGGTCGAGTGCTAGGTAAAGATGGGAAATCAATCGACGAGACTGTGAAATTACATCGACTGAGATAGTTAGGACATGTGTTACGTATGCCCAATCATCGCCTTCCTCGACGAGCAATATTAGCGGATACGGGGTCAGGCTGGAAAAGAGCTAGCTAGCGGAGATCAAACAAAAACATGACCTCATCAGTCAATGAAATCTACAACAGTTAGTCTAAGCAACGTAGGAATGTGTAGACTTCCTGACTGATTAGGGTTTTCAGGACGATTAAAACCAATGGTTGGAAACAATTGGTGACATGGCTCAAAATCGTTCTCAGTGGCCAGCTCAGATGCATCCACTCTCTGTGACGTATGATTTCCAATGACACTATATTGTTCTTCGTTATTACTATTCCTTTGTCTCACATCTCTGTTTACTGTCTCTCATATGCATTTCTTCTCTTGCCTTGTGTGCTACATGGAGTGTGCCGACTTCAACTCCTGCACATATGTGCAAAGTTCTATTTCGAAAACAGACAGACAAGCAGACAACTAATCATATAATAACATTTATAAAGTAGGTTTGGTATTTCAGAGATACACCTAGAATTATAACTGTATTTTAGTGAATTAGCAAACGTTACTGCTATTTTGAATGAACTGGAAAATATTCACAACTTTATAAGTAATGCCAATCTACTCAAATAATGACAATATGAACAATTTATAGGTGAATTTTAGAAGAGGAATGAATGTTTTATTTCTATATTTTATCCATTTGTAGCACACCTTCATAGTGAATATCTCATTTGTGTAGATGATTACAGACACTCTGAATACAAATTGCTATGACTTAAATATTTAAGGCAAATAAAAATGAAAAGTGTGCGTCGGTGGCATTGCGGTTAGGACGCTAGCCGACCATACACATGGTCCGGGTTTCGATCTCCGGTCGACGTACTCCTTTAGTTCGCTAAGCCAGCAATAATGCTGGTAAAAGGGAAAGGTTGGGAATGAGGCTAGCAACCCCATGCCGTAAAATAAACACTGCTACAGAAACTTCAAGTCACTAGCTTGAAGTCCTATGTTCCACTGGTGAAGGAAAGAAAAAATATGGGAAACTATTGAAAGTGTTAACACTAACTGTGTATTCAGTAAATCAGTTGGAAATTATTCGTGGAAAATTCCCATTGGGACATAGAGAAGAAAAAAAAAAGTCAAAAATCTAAATTTTTCGACTGTATAAAATGAATGCAGATGACACCCTTATTATTTGTGATAATGCTTATGATTTGAATAATATACACAATGCATTTAACGGTTGCCATCCAGAGATATAATGCACACTCAAATTGGATAGAGTCTAACATTCATCTTCTTGTTATAAACTTATCAAGGAAAACTGAAGGGAACTATGAAAAGATCAATTTACAGGAAGCTGTCCTGAAATGGCCAACTGACAGATTTCTACAACTGGGTACCTACAGGTCGAAAACAAAACCTGATTCGACCACTTACCACTCGCATTCGGAGCATATGTAGTTCTGATGCTGTGGAGGAGAAGTTAAATCTTCTAAGAAAAATCCTAATTAAAATGGATTTCTGCTACGTTTTATAGATTGGAATGTACTCAAAATCACTGAAATGTGACTTAATATACATAACCAAGGAAATGTTTTCCATGGAATTGAAATTCAAAGGTGACTTAGCTGCTGACATCCTTTCAAGAAGGACCTCACAGTCCTTGAAAAGGATATTCGCTGCAGCATCGGTGAGAATACCATTCTCCAGTCGACCAGTAATGTTCAATAACCTGAATGATAAGATCTCACAGTTGACCAATTCTATGTGCGTTTATCAATTCACCTGTTCGTGTGGAGCTAGGTATATCGGTCTTTCGACTCGCGTTTTATCCAACAGGGTGCAAGAACACTATTCTGAGTGGTTAAGAAGAGGTGAGTCGGCAAATATGAAGGACAATCAATGAACATCTAGTCAATACTAGTCACCTTATCCATACGGCCTCTTCCTTTACAGTCATGTACAAGGAGAAAAATAACTTGCCAAAATCATTACGTAGCCGAATCATCTGCATTGCTGAAGCTTTGGCCACAGAAATATAAAACTCATGAAAATGTTGTTCAACCCCTTCAACCCTCACGGTCTTAATCCGTCTATGCTAAAGTATGATAATCCCCATTCATACTTTGGCTCTACCTATTTTTCGTTTCGTTCATTCAGTTTGTATATCCTTCTTTTATTATATCGATTGTTACTATCATTATTCTCAATCTGTCTGTCTGGATTCAACATAGAACTTGGCACCGAAGTGCAGCAGTTCGAGTTGCCACGTTCCAAATAGCACACAGAGGTAGACAAGAAGATGAGTGAAGAGAATTAATAGAGTTTGACAAATATAAGAGTGAAACAGAATGGGTAATGGTAGAAAGGAATATGAAAGATTACAGAGATTGAATACATCTGCGCCATTGACAACGATTTTGAGCCATGTCACCTATTGTCTCCAGCCATTGATTCCTAGAGTCCCGAGGGCCCCAACCCGGGAGTCTGCATCTCCCTACCTGACTCAGTTTAACTGTCAAGGATTTCATGGATTGATGCCATGTTTTTGTTTGGCCACCACTGGCTCTTTTCCAACCTGAACCTATATCAGCTAACAATGCCCGTCGGGAGAGGCGGTGGTTAGGCATGCGCACCACCTCACCTAGCCATCTTAGTCTATGTAACTTTATAACCTCGTCGATTGATTTTCCCTCTTTGCCCAACACTCTACGCCTAACGTCAACATTACTTACTTTATTAAACCACCTAACGTGAGACAGAGATCGCAGACATCTATGATCGAAAGCAGTCAACCTTTTCATGTCTTCAACGCGTATTGGCCATGTTTCAGAGCCATAGAGAAGGACGGAGCGAACTGATGAGCAGTACACACGTCCCTTGGTTGATAACCGGATGTCACGCCTACGCCAGAGATGGTGTAAGTCAGCGAAAGCAGCTCGAGCTTTTCGGATCCGTGCTGAGATTTCATCGCCAATCAGTCCGTTGGTGCTGATACAACTTCCCAAGTAGGTGAAGTGGTCAACATGTTCTATCACTTTACTCCCTATCACTAAGTTAGGGGTTGACGTCGTCCAGTCCTGTAGCAGCATCTTACATTTTGCAGGGGCGAATCGCATGCCAAACATACGAAGATTGCTGCTCAAGGTGTTCAGAAGACTCTGCATTTTGTCAGCATCCTCCCCTAACAGGACTATGTCATCTCAATACGAAATTTTTCCGGAATTATTTCACTTGTCATTCTAAATCATTTTTTTTGCAATGTTAAATTCTATTTCATCAAATTTCACAGTATGTTACGTAACGTTTTTATTTGCCTACTAATCCTATAATTTTACACCCCTTTCAAACATCTATACATCCTATGAACTATTCTACATATGACACCAATATCTTGCCACTTGACACCTAACTATGATTATAATCAAGACATTTCAATTATGTTTCATACTATTGGTATATTATGAAAACTATTCAACCTGCTCTTATAAATTAACCTGTATTTTTGAACACGTTAGTTGTATGAATGATGATAAGACAATTGCAAGTTATACAGATTATAACAGTGTAGAATACCTTCTAAAAATCAATTTTTTACACAAATAACAAGTAAAGTACTCAACAACCACTTGTATTTCAATGCAGTTGGCAATGAGTCACACCTATCGCGTGAAGATTATTGATACTACCTTGCTGTTGAAACTCCGTAGGTTGGGGTAAATTCAAACTGATCACCTAGTGGTCAGAAGTCAAGTGTCTATAGCAATGAGCATCAGCTTCACACTAACGTGTACAGAGCAGACAACGCTTACAACACATGTGTTCAACTGAATTAGGAAAATAAAATACTTAAGAATGTGTCTTTGGAAACTGCACACTACAGCCAAACTTTGTTTGTCACGTATACACACTCTACATTAAATTAGTGGGTTATAAACTCAAAATCTGAACTATCTGTTTCAGTTTGAACAAAATAGTATATATAGCCACTGTTCACAAAATACGTTAACACCATCATCTATTGCATAACTTCGCATACATATTTTACTTTTAAAATACACTGCCTAGAAACTAATGTTCAATATGGATAACAAATGCATTGCATCATTTATCCGTAATCCCCCGAATTATAGCATGAGGTTTTATCATATCCATCCTTTAAAAAGTTTCATTTTGCGATCAAAATCGGATGAGTGGCAATCTGGATACTTAGAAACTACTCTTTAGTAATAAAGGCTCAGTAGGAGATTTGTATTTACAAGCATTATTAAAAAGTAGGTAAATATTTGAGAAAATAACTTAGAGAATGAAAAAGGGATTACTGGAACCATATCTGTCAGATCTTATACCATATGACGTATAACAATAGAGACAATATTTATAGAAGTACCTGTTAAAGTAAAATTTACTTTCACAGATAAATTTCTTAGACTTTCATGAAGTAAAAAGATTTTTATACGACCACTATCCAACACACAATAATCTTATTTTCACCGAAGTAAAACGTTTAAGTAATTCTGCATATTATCTACTCACTTCATAGAACCCAGTTTGGTAACCACATATAAACCAACTCATTAATAATGGATGCACTTGTAAATCGTTGAGTTGCTTTCGAATATTTGAGGTATTGACTAATGGTAATTTACTCGATCCACTGGTTTTTTTCGCTGACTCTGAGTTATTTTCATGTGAAGAGAATTCAAGAAGTTCAGGCCCAGTTGGCTTTACAACGTTTAACTCCCGTGTTTTATTATGAGAAGCAATGGATTCAAGTGAGACTTGGTGCAAATAAGAAGAAATTTCCTTCATCCATTTCGTCCCCTCATCATGGACAGAGAGCTCACATATTTCACTAAGAATAAAAATGGTCCAAAACAAAATAATATAAAATTCCCTATGAAGAAGTGTCAACTTTATAAAACTGTAGAACAATGACATCATATGCGAGTTATATGATGAATTCATTACATTTTTTTATTATAGCTTGAAACCACACAGTATTTTTGGTACAAGTATGGAATCTTCAGCATATGATATCGGTAGCCCAAATTTTGCAGGCCGACCATAGATATCAGGTGTGTGTTGGACCATGTGCATGGTCGGCGAGAGTCCTAATCGCTGTGCTACCACCGAACATGATGTGAAACAATATACATTCAATCTTGAGGAAGGAATTTCAATCAGAATTCAGAAGACAAATGAAGAATACTGCCTGCTATTTAATCAGTTATCCAAGGATCCACGAAATGAATATTACTTCAATTCTCATTCCACAATTCCAAAAGTTTTGATGTGAAATTGTATGTGGGGATGGATTAACACCGAAATTATTGCGTGACTTCTGTTCAGTCCCATGTACGTCTATTAATCATACCACAACAAATAAATGCACTATATCATGAAGCCAATGAATTTGGCATCGATAATAGCAATACTGATTAATCTAAAAACTAAATGTTAAAGACACTGTTGACAGACCTGAAGATTAGTGGTTCGGCTCCATATGAAACAGATGATTAACACTACTGTGATTTGGAATAAAACAACGCATTTTTCTACTGTTTCGACAGACCCATTTATCTGAATATCTACTAAGTCCTGAGAAAAAACCGATACTATTTAATTTTTTATTGTTGACAACTAATTCTAGGACAGGACAGAGTAAAGAAGAGTGCCAGGGAAGACAAAAGAAAATATTATGAAGCCATTACAAGTGAAGCAGAACAAGCTGCAGTGCAGGCAGAGGAGACCTCGCCACACTCTACCAAAAAACAACTAGGCACCTATCGGGAAAAAGTTCGACACAGATTAAGCCAGTAAAGGATGACAATGGAAGGTCAATCACCAAAGAAGTACAGCAAAGAAAACACTGGGGTGGATACTTTAAAAGACTTCTAAATCGACCGCCACCTACAACGCGTCGAACAATACCAACAACAGAGGCAGAACTACCAGTGAACATCAACCCACCCCCCCAACGAAATCAGAAGTCCTGAAGGCAATCAACATGCTAAAAGCTGGAAAAGCAGCAGGACCAGATGGAATCCCAGCAGAAGCATTGAAAATGGACCCAGAGACAACAGCGGACTTGATTACGCCATTACTGAAGGAGGTGTGGAAAGAGAGCAAAGTACCCGAGGATTGGAAGAAAGGATACTTATTCAAACTACCAAAGAAAGGAGACTTAAGTCAATGCAAAAACTGACGCGGAATTATACTCCTGTTCATCCCAAGCAAAATACTAAGCCGCATCATCCTGGAGAGAATCAAACAAGCCGACTTGGATGAAAAGCTTCGACCGGAACAAGCTGGATTCAGGAGAAACAAGTCATGTATTGATCAAATCGCCACTCTATGGATCATCATTGAACAAAGCTTGGAATGGCAGTCACCTCTCCACCTCACTCAACTTCATCGACTTTGGAAAAGCTTTCGACAGCGTCGACCGAGAGGTCATTCGGCAACTACTTCGCTACTACGGGGTGCCATCGACAATTATACATCTCATCCAACAGTTATACGACAATGGTGCATGCCAAGTAATCCACAACGGGAAACCCACGGAATCCTTCGAAGTGAGGACGGGAGTAAGACAAGCTGACTGCCTACTATCACCAATGATCTTCCTGATTGCAGTAGATTGGATAATGCGACAGACAACGGGCAATGAGGAAACAGGCATAAAATGGACTCACACAAAAAACTTGGAGGATCTGGACTTCGCCGATGATATATGTCTGATTTCCCACAAACTGGAAGATATGCAAGTGAAAAGCAACAAGCTGACAGAAGAAGCATCAAAGATAGGACTTCAAGTGAACAGAGGTGATGAAGATTCCTGACCACCAGCAACAACAACAACAGACAACAATCAGCATAAATGGGAGGACCTGAAAGAAACAACCTCCTTTACCTACCTGGGAAACATCGTTTCAACTACAGGAGGAACTGATGAGGACATCAAAGCCAGAATCTGAAAAACAAGACAAGTTTTCACTACTCTTAAGTCTGTGTGGAGGTCAACAGCACTCAGCATCAAAAATAACATCCGGATTTTCAACTCAAATGTGAAGTCAGTGCTACTATACTGATCAGAGACTTGGCCAGCGCATCATAAAGAGCATCTCAAACAAACTTCAGACCTTCATCAACAGTTGTCTTCGCTCAATACTCCGCTCAAGATCAGATGGCCGGCCAGAAAAGATCAGCAACAGGGATCTGTGGCAATGAGCGAACCAACCAGGAACCGATTGTGAAACAAATAGGCAGGAAGAAATGGTGATGGATTGGCCATACTCTGAGGAAACCATCAAGTGACATCACTAGACAAGCCACTGCTCGAGTGGAACCCGAAAGGGAAGAGGCGAGTTGGTCGTCGGTGCAAGGGTGACTTGGAGGAGGTCATGTGAGGAGGAGATGAAAGCAAGTGGACAGACTTAGAGCGGGGTGAAAAAGTTGGCAGAGAACCGAACCCAATGGAGACACGTGGATGAAGCCCTGTGTTCCTCTAGGAATTAAAGGATATAATAATAATATTGACAGATTCGAGATACTAAGTAAGCCGTCAGTGTGACCTTTGTTTTTTACTTAAGTAATTTCTTCAACAGCCGCAAATGCCCTCAGGTTTTCCAGAAATCTAAACACGAAAGTCAGAAATTTTCTGGGTAAATACTCGATAAACAAGCAAAAAAATAATCAACGAGTATAACAATGTAAAAATGCAAGTTGCTGTGCTTAACAAACATTAGAGTGAGCAAAACTGAGGGTAATATAGGTAATCAACTCAATGTTAGTAGACAGCTTAAATGATATAAATAAAATCAGCAAAAGTAGTGAGATGAAATTAACTAGAAAGAAAACAGAAATAAACAAGGTAAGATCTAGGAATTTTTGATGATAATTAGCTGTATTATTGGTGTATTGTTGAAGCCCTATGGTTCCATTCGGAACCAAATGGAATAATAATACTAATAATTACTGGTGTAGCAATTAAAACATTTTGTCTATATTTTTCAACTAAAAATTTCTAAAAATCTTTGATTCCATTTCGACAACCTACATGTCACTACACATTTCATATTAACAGACAAAGACTACATTAATAGATCTCTACCAAATGCAGCATGAGAAAGAAATTAATCCCGTGTAAGTAGAAGTGTAGCGTGTGCTACTGATAAAACTTCTCAGTAGTATATTAAGAGACGTTCATCAGCATAAAAACATCAAATAACAGGGAGATAGATTTGACGTCAGAGAAGGCGAATGATACAGCGTTGCAAGGATACATGAGAGACGTGAAAGGGAAACAACACAATATGAAAGCCAAAAGTAGCACAACACGGAAGATCTGTGCAAATGGTGATTTGAAGATAATTTCGCTATGTAGAGATACCAAATTCCTTTATCAAATCTCTCGTCTTCTAACGTTACAGAAGTACCATGGAATTTTTTCATAACACTTTCAGCTGGCTTAAGATTGTTCCTTCAATTGATCTTCCTTACGTAACCATCGAACATCCAACCGGTTGCCTTCTGTTCGCTCTTCAGTCGACAGCCTGCCCAGAGTGTGATGCCAATGGATTGTCTCCTCAGTATACGCCTAACCCATTTCCATTTCCTTCAGCATATTTGTTAGGCTCGTCGATGGTTCACTTCCAGAGTTCCTTGCTGTCTATCCATTCCGACCGGCCACCTTATCTTCAGTAAAGAGAAGGCGGTTTTTGATGAAAACCTGTAGTCTGTTGAGAATGCTTTTAAATTATACAGATACAAACATCCAAAAACATGTATGTAAGTGTCATACCGTATCCCTATATTTTGTAAAATACTTCACCTAATAAAATCACAATACATAATTTGAATGGATTTATTATACAGTGATACAGCTTTAGTTAGGTACTTTGGTAAACAATACTGTTCCCACTATGTGCTATATCAGACAAAATTATACCGTTATGCATTTATACTCCGTCAGAGTACCCAAGTTCTTTTCTTTTGGCAGCGTCATATACATTCACTACATATATTTGAAAAAATCAGTAATAAATAATATAAGAATTAGCAGATGAATTATTGGTTTATGCATTTGAATTTCGACATAAGAGTCAACAGTTCAAGCCACGCTTAATCTATTTTAGACTGAGATGGCACAGCATAACTGGTCTTCACCCATTAAGTGTAGCTAGAAGTCCGCTACACGAAAAGTTGGCAATATTTGCACTTTCACTTATTTATTCATTTATTCTTGACTTCCAATCGAAGTATACTCCTTATGAAATAAACAATCTGTCAGTTAGTGGAGCAGTAGTCCAATAATCAAAGAATACAATTCAAAGATATAATTAATGAGTGATTCGATTTACCGTAAAATACTTATGATAAGTATGGGTGAAGATGCAGAAAAGCATTACACTCATGTCACTTCTAAAACTTTACTCATTTCCATAAAAACGTAACCTCTGAGTATACAAAAACTTAGACTTTGTTAATACAGTAATAATAAAATAATGCAATCTCACACGTCAACACTCTAAAAGCGCTTACTTTTCATCACCATAATCCTCTTGTTCAGTACACTGGTGAGTGATCACAAATGATTCCTTTACATACAAATAATTATAGATTAATTAATAAAAAAGAATACCTTTCTTGAAAGCGCAGCAGCCTTGTTCAGTTCATCTTTCACACAAACTCTGAACTCAGAATTAATCTGATAAAGGTCCTCTGAGGATTTCTTTTCGGTATTTTCATAATAACAAAATGACACTGTAAATATATCATTTTCATGATCAGCTTCCAACATTGTAGCATAGTAATAAGCTCCATCTTCGCTCCAAGTACAAATACACAAGTCACCCTTATTCCATGACGGGGGATATTATTATCCTCAAGATTTATGTCATTTGAAGTCTAAATACAATCAATAATCTTTTAGTTTACTTTTGTTAGATTTGTAAACAAACCTGTAACAGTGGAGCATTTATCAAATGATTTAACTTCGTAATGAAGTATGTATCATCCAAAGACTGAAAATAAACAGGCCAGACAAAATATGTTAACATACTTCTAGACTTGACATGATATCATTATTTGTACACAACAATTTCATATTTCTTGGTGTTATGCTTAGCATGGCTGAGGGTTGACATGAAGTTGTATAGTCTTTCGACCGGATTGTATACAATGAGTTTTCTGAATCGATCTTTTCAATAACAAATATGTCATAAACTTCATCTTTGGTTTTAGAAATGCAAACATCTCCAAGTGACCACATCGTTCAGGAAAGATCATCAAACGTACTGGAGAATTCCTGCTATAAAAAGGAAAATGAAGTATATTAGCCTTAATGAGTAGTATGAAGGAAGTAAAAGTTATTAAAGTAATTATGATCCCACCAGTGAAAAAATAAAACCTGATATCTGAATGCGGTGGTAGCGTGAATTCAAACAGAAAATCAAAGACATTCGATATCTTGCTCAGGTTGTTGAGAAGACTGTCTGCTAACATTTTTTTTCTAAATGGATTGTGTTGTTTGCATGTCTGTCTGTCTCTGTCTGTCTGTTTTCGACATAGAACTTTGCACAAATGTGCGGAAGTTCAAGTCGCCACATTCCGTGTAGCACGCGAAACAAGAGAAGAAAGTACAAGAAAAGCACAATAGAAACAGTGAGCAGAGGTGTGAGACAAAGGAGTAATAAAGAAATACAAAACAATTTCATTGAAGATCATAAGTCTCAGGGAGTGGATGCATCTGCGTCACTGAGAACGATTTTGAGCCATGTCACCAATTGTTTCCAACCATAGATTTTTGCCGTCCCGAGGACCCCAGCCTGGAAGTCTACACCTTCCTACGTGGCTAAGACCAACTGTTGTGGATTTCATTGACTGATGCCAAGTTTTTGTTTGACCGCCGCTAGCTTTTTTCCAGCCTGACCCTATATCCGCTAACATAGCTCGTCGAGGGAGGCGATGACTTGGCATACGTAACACATGTCCTAACCATCTCAGTCGATGTAGCTTTACGACTTCGTCGATTGATTTCCCCTGTTTACCTAGAACTCTACGCCTAACCTCCATGTTGCTCACCTTATTATGCCACTTTACACGGGAAATAGAACGCAGGCACCTATGATCAAAGGCAGCTAGTCTTTTCATGTCTTCCACTCTCAGTGGCCAGGTCTCACAACCATAAAGGAGGACGGAGCGGACTGATGAGCAGTACACCCGCCTTTTGGTCGATAGTCGAACATCTCGTCTACGCCAGAGTCGGCGTAAACTAACAAATGCGAAACGAGCCCCTTGTATTCGTGCTGAGATTTCGTCAGAGATCATAATGTTTGCATAATCTTAGTAAGCTCTTTCACTGGTAACAAAAAATCATGAAACTGATTAATGTCACCGAAAAATTTCATGCATCGAAGAGTATGCAGGGACATCTCCCAGAATGTCATCAGTTTTGGATTTGAGGTATTACTGTTCTCCCGAAGGCTTTCACGCGGTTTAATTGCTCCATCACCATTCAAAAGGAATATATAGTCAATCTATTGCGTGGTGCCGCGATATAAAGAATAGTGTCCCGTAAGCGAATCAAAACACCTTGAGTGGAGATCAAGAGATAGTAAGACTGAGCGGCTGAGTACATTAGTGAACGTAGCTCAAGAATGAAGTTGCTAGCAAACATGCTGCAGCTTCCTAATAATAAATGCACCCTTGAATACATTTATTAAGGGTGTTTGTATGCATACTCCGTTATTTTTTCAACCAATTCAGTACCTCTTATTCTCTTATTATGTGGCCCATTTCACTATTTTCATGACATTTTGGTTTATATTAGTATTCTTTAAATCAATACACAGATGAGGAGAGAAATATTGCGATCGTGCAGTACACAAAGACGTCAATGTAACAGAGACACACATGAATGAGTTTTAGAAATGGTCAACGAATTTAAAAGAATCTAACACAAATTCAGATTAAAACAGTGCTCAAATAACTGAATGGATCGATAACGAATTTACGCAGAAAGTATCGTGAAACTTAGCATTTCGGAATTTCAAGAGATACGGTACCTCCCTCCAGAAAAAAAAGATGATCAAAAAGATACATAGTCGGATTTACTCGGCGTGCATTGATTGCCTATAGTTCAAGCAAAGAATTTTTGCGTGGGTGAATATACAAACCACACCCTCATTTTATTTACTTTGGTGAATGTATGTTCACATTTTGACTTCTGCAGTGCAATAAACACAGAGATGCATTCAAGTGTGATAATCATCGCATATGCATGCATATTAACCCTAAAGGGACCGCTTGAGTATTGAAATCTATTGAAATAATTTAAGAGCGTGAGAAGTCGAATAAACTGATAAGTAAAATATAAAATAGAGCGTGAGAAAACTGGTAGAACAGTGATATTTGTTTCGAGGTTAAAACACGTCTAATTACAGCTGACATTACATATTATACGAAAATAAGATGAAAACATATTTCAGAGCATGTTAATACAATATAAATGATTCCAGAAGAATGCGGCAAGAATTTCCGTTCTCATCGTTGGTGGCACAGCGTTTGAGACCCTCTCCAACCATGCAAATGGCCCGGAGTTTTATTTTCGGCTGACGCACATCTGATATCAATGGTCGGCCAGCTAAATTTGGCTTTCGGATATCACATGCTAAAAATCCCATAGTTGTACCAAACACACGGTGTGGAATCTGGATATATAGCTACACGGCTAAAGCTACGTATATCCATTCTTTAACTGCGCACAAACAACTATAAAGTAAGTACTAAGCCCTGTTTTTAGCAAAAGCATAACAATTTCTCAAGCACTACAAAAACGTCAATCATACCCAGCACTTCCTACACGACCTTGAGAAAATATGTCCATTGACTAATTTACGATTCACCAGCTGAATTTATTTCCCTATGTTTCTTTATTGACAAAAACAAGATATCTACAGATTTCTGGTGGAGATATCTACGGTGACACATATATCTGACCTGTTATAGCTCGTGTAAACCTGGAGAAATAGTAGAAGTTTGAGGAAATTTGGAGAGACTTTTGTGGTCTTCATTGTCCAATATCCAATATCGTTTTTACGACCTAGTATAAACCAATTTGATTTCTTTGTGCTCGCCTCTTGATTGTAAGGTATAGGTTCCTGATCTTCGGTAAACTTCTGCGTAGCTCGTCCCGCCACTCGACTGTCGTAGCTTTGGTTGGCTCGAAAAGGAGTAGTGCTGGGACTAATTATATGTGGTTTGTAGTATGAGGTGTGTTAAGACTGTTACTACTGTGAAAGGAATTCATCCTTTCACCAGTTAGTCATCCGGTACCGTCGTCAAAAGAAAAGAGGTGATAATAAGAATAACAGATACAATTAGTGAAGTTATTCAGACTAACAGACAGAAAAAGAAATAAGAAAACGCAACAACAGTCAGCTGATTAAATTTGAAGAATAATATATATATGTATATATATCGGTAATAATGATAGTAATAAGTGTAGTTAAAGTTGTCAGGAGAGTAAGACGAGAGAGAATGTAAAGAAGTAAAACGACAAGTTTAATTGTCCAGCCTTCGCTTAAAGGCGACCACAGACGATTCCATGGCTACAGCTGCCGGTAAGGAATTCCAGGGACGGCAAACACGCAGTGAAAAGAAGTGGGAGCGCACCCGGGTCCTTACCTTCTGATGAGCTATCCCTCTGGGATTTCCACGAGGGAGCCTATACCTACTCAATGGCAGAACACCTTTGTTTGGGTGATTCTCGTCATTTGTTATTTTGTAGGCAGTAATCAAATCCTCCCTCAGCCGATGGTATCTAAGTGTGAACAGGCCTAATTTCTTCAGCCTTTCATCATATGGATTATTTCAGAGACCAACCACCCCTTTTGTTGCCCGTCTTTGGGCTCTTTCCAAGAGGACGGCGTCTCTTCTAATCAGTGGGGGTGCAATGATATTATGCACTTCAAGGTGCGGCCTGAAGTATGTTTTGTACAACCTTAGAAAGAGCTCAGGAGTGAGTGCACCTAACTGTCTATGCGTAAAGTGTATGACCACATATGCCATCGCTACGTCCCCGTGTAATTTACGCTTGTGTCCATTTTTTCCGTTAGAACTAGACCTAAGTCACCTTCCGACGTTGTGCAGGACAAGCTTTCGTTGTACAGGGTGTAACTTGCATTCTGCAGTCTACAGGTGCGTAACTTCACTACTTTGCACTTTTTCAGGTTGAAAGTCATACCACTAGCCACCGCCCAGTCTTCCAGAAGGTTTAGATCTTCCTGAAGCCTATCTGAGTCTTCTGGATACTCTATTGACCACCACATCTGCACGTCTTTAGCGTACAGAACTGTCGGGCAGGTTAGACGGCATGGTAGATCATTGGTAAAAATCAAAAACATAGGTGGTCCTAGGATAGAACTCTGCGACACTCCTGATGACGATCTGTGCCAAGATGATTGGACTCGATTGACCTTAGTGCAAAATTGCTTTCCAGCTAGGCAGTCCTTTAACCACGACAGAAGTGACTCACCTATACCTGCCTGGCTTGTTCTGTGTAGGAGAAGGTCATGGTGAACAGTGCCGAATGCCTTCTCAAAGTCTAGGAAGACCACATGGACTGGAACATTCATATCCCAGCATGATGTCCAATCGTCCCGAGCTGATAGTAGATTAGTTAAACAGGATCTGCCTTTCCTGAAACAGTGTTGGGCTTTATGAAGTATTTTAGACCTATAGAGGTATTCCCTGATGTGGTCGTCGATAATACTTTCTAGTACCTTTGATACCACTGGGAGTAGAGCTACTATAACTAGTGGCATTTTGCCTGTCCCCACCCTTGAAGATCGGAGAAAGGATGGCTCTTTTCCACTGCCATGGCAGTTTCCCCGAATCCATTGAGCGTTATAACAAGTAGCACAGGGGCCTACAAAGAGCTTCGGCGCACTGTTTCAGAACAGATGGCCTGATGCCGTAGTCACCTGGGGACTTCCTAGATGGGAGTCGCTGTAGCTTCCTTAGTACTATTTCGGGGTTTATTTGGGGAGAGTCCATTACTTTTTCCTGCGGTTAAATAGTAGTGCCACCATTTTGATCTGAACCAGTAATACCCACATTGCTGTTTAGCTGTTTGGCGAAGGCTAAACTGAATATTTCAGCCATCTCCAGACTAGTGGGATATTGACCGTCTGGATTTACTTAGGCGCATGCCCCTGGTTGGTTGGTTTTCTTTCCAACGTGAATCGATTCGTCAGTAGATTGTTCTTAAGGTCAGCCCGAAATGCCCTCTTGTCACTCCTGACTCTCACTTTGCATCGGCTCATGAGTTCCAGGTATGCGTCGTTGTCGGCCTTACTCTTGGATATTCACCACGTAGGCCAAGCCTTCCGCTTTGCTTGCAGAATACGTTGCGTACCTCTCTTCAACCATGATGACCATTTCTTTGAGCTGTGTTGTGACTAGAGAGATGGTATCTGAGATTGCCATATGGATAATTTCTCCCACCACTTCCCAGTGTTCATCTACAGATTGGTCATCCCATGCTAAGGGCCAGTCCGCGTCGGACAAGTCTTCGCATTTCAGCATAGTCATCCTAGCTGTAACACAGACATGGTCGCGTAACGTCCCACTGTAAGCGCTCACGGAGTACAAGATTGAAACCTATTGCTGCATGGTCACTACTGACTAGAAGAGTCATAATCTGGACATTTCCGACGAGTAGTTGGTCACTAGTTAGAATATAACCTAGTTTTGATGACTTTCCACTCGGTCCCCACCTAGTGTAGTCTCCAACATTCCCAGTCAGTCCTGTATTTCTAGTGGTTTGAAGTTGATTTCGACTGAATTTTTTCGAGCATATCCACTGCCAAGGTCTGGTGATGGGGCATTAAAATTTCCAGCTATGGTTATTTGGTCATAGCCCGAGTCCCACATCCCTGTGATGGTGCTGAGCAGTAGCTCTGCCCTACAGGTGGGTGATCGGTAGATGCCATCCAGTAAGTGCTTGGTGTGGCCTACAGTGAAATGAAACCATGTGGAGTCTAGGAGTTCAACAAGTGGTGGGTCCATTGCACTCACACGTTTAAGCTGTCTGTTAGAGTATATGACATACCCCCTTCCTTGTTACCCCTGTCTCTCCCGACCAGAAACATATCGCTAATACTGAGTTCGTTGTTGGCGATAGTGGGGGTTAGCCACGTTTCAGTGACGATTATTATTTTAAGGTGCAGGTGTAAATGGAGGTTTCTAGTTTCAACCACTTTCCCTCTCAGTCATCTTACATTGCTATAAAGGCGGCTGATAATAAGTTTCACAACCTCGGTGTGTTGTGGAGTATAGTTGACGTGAAGCTGTCTGCTGGTGGGGGAATTGATGTTGGGACTAGTGGGCCGATTCCGATGGAACCGGCCCGTCCTAGTTTTTTCTATGGATTTGGGCAGGACACTTGGGTGACACAGGCTGTTATTCTCAGAACTGCATCACTCTAGTGTCACTGAAGCTTAGGGACTTATTAAAGCCTCAGTTTGCTGCCTCCTTATAGTTCAGGGTCTGCTTTCGCATCCCATTTTCCCTTGGTCTCATACCACCGCTGAAGTACTATGGCCAACTGCACCGGGGAGTTGAATGTGACACTTAGCAGCTTTGGAGAGCTAATCAGTGTGAGACTAACCGGGCGAGGAAATGGAGATGGCTCCAGAAGCGCCAAGGGCCATCTGAGATGACAGCCATCTCCATTGCAGTACGTCATGCATATGTTTTTCACAAGCAGTACCCGTTTCCAGCTCCGGAACACTGTGTACCACCATAGAGGTGGAAGGCATCAGTTCCGGTGACTCCCTCACCATTTGTCTGATAGCCCATGGTCTGTCATGTCTCACCCTTATGCTAGAACTTCTGTCGACAGCTAGTGTCTGAGCTGTTAGTAGTATTTTTCGGCCTCATTGGCAGAGTCCAGTGTAACCCTCAATGGGAGTGGCTTACCCTGAGGCGTGTAGACACTCCTGTACAGCCTGCACAAATTTGCTGAACCGATGTTCGGACATAGTTTATTGCACAAACTGGATCACTGTTTCTGATCAAACAGGGCCAGCTGCTCAAGCCAACTTTCATTGCGCACGGGTGCATTATACACTATCGGGAAATGTGACCGACCGACCTCAGACTTTGGTTTGTTTTTTGGGTGCTTCTCCTCCTTTGCAGGGTCAGCAGCTTTGAAACCCATCAGGTTCTGACTAGCCTTTGCTATGTTGCAAGCTTGCCATTGGATGCGAGTGGCGCTTCAGCAATTCCATCTTCCCCTGATGTTGTAGCTGTAAACTTGTGAGTCTTCAGTTTATGAAGATTAGTATTTCCAGTCAATTGAGCTGGGGTGTCATTCCTACTGTTTTGGCGGTATGATGTTATCAAGCGGAGAGCTGCATGAGACTGTGCTTTTTCTGTTATCCACTGACACTCTGTGTGAGACGGTACCAGGTCAACAATTTGGGCGGATGTGCCAGAATCATGGACACGGGTTATTTCGAATAAATACATAATATGGTTTCGCACAACGGCAGTGTGCCCATCGCTTGTGAAAATTGCATTCAAATGCTGAATCAGTTTCAGAGGCGACAACACTACAGGCCTGACATTCTTCCCCTCTTCTGGATGACACTTTCGGGATCTTATGATGTCTTCAGCGTTTCTTTTTTGTTTTCCTGTATGTCACGCACTGGCTTCCAAGGGATACAGGTGTAGTATCATGTCCACCTGGTATTGTCTGTGCTGCTCCAGTGCAAGACTATGGGAATGTAGGCGCGATGTGCACGAGTCTTTAGGGTCAGTATGCGAGATGGGGTTAATGTCCCCGGGTTGTTACTTACTCTGACTGAAGCCCTTGTGACT